CCAGTTACCAGCCTTTCTCATTCTCCCCCTCCAGGTCCTGGAAACTGAGTGGCTGTGGAATGAGCTGCAGGTGCAGATTGTGGGCTGCACCAGCCTGCGGGGTCGTTGGCTCAGCACCCAGCCCAGCCCCTACGCCATGTACCGCTTCTTCACCTTCCCTGACCACGACACACCCATCATCCCCTCCAGCAACAACCCGCACTTTGGAGACCTGCGGACCTTCCCCATGCGCCCCACAGCTGAACTCGACCGCTATCTGCGTCTAGAGAGCCTCTGGGTGTACATCTTCGATGACGAGGATGCAGAGCCAGGCAGTTACTTGGGCAAAGCACAGATCCCGCTGCTGCCTCTGGCATGCGGGCACAATATCACAGGTGAAAGCCGCTGGACCCAGATCCTCTATTGCTCAAGGAACAGAGCTGGGCACAGTTCCCCTGCCCCTGGCCTCAGTGCCCAGGCCCCCACCCCCTGTGCCCTCTTATGCCTCCAATTCTGTACTCCATAGGAGATTTCGTCCTCACCAACTCATCTGGGTACCCCAATGGCTCCATCAGCCTCAGCCTGGAGTGGAAGTGTCGGTATCTGCCCCCGGGGGCTGCCCTGCACCAAGTGGCCTGGGCCAGGGAACACCAGAGTGAGAGACCCTTGGAGCAGCTGATTGAGGAGGAAAGGGCTGCACTACACAGCCAGGTACAGAACGACCCAGCAGCCCAGTCTTAACACCTGCCCCCTACAATATCACCCTCCCAGTGAGGGCTGGGAGTCAGGGCTCCTGGCTTCTATCCACTGCTCTTTCTTTGCCTTGCTGGGCGATGCTGCCATTCCTGCACCCCAGTACAAAAAGGAGTAGGTTAGTGGGAATGGGGGAAGCTGCCAGGCTGTGGCGTGACTGTGCTGTTCTGACCCCTGCTCAGGCCCGGCTTGGTCCCAGCACCTTGCCATCGCAGCCTGAGGGCCAGGGGAAGCAGCTCCAGGTCTCGGTGGTCAAGGCTGATGGATGCAGGGGGAAGCGGGATCGGGGAGCCAGCAGTCAGACCCAGCCCAATCCAGTGCCAGCAGCCAGTGGCTACACACCGAAGGAGGGAGAAGAGGTGACTCCCATGGGAGACACTGCTGAGGTGAGACTAGTTAGAGGGGACCAGGAAGCAGGCAGTGAGGGTGCAGCAACCCAAGGCCCCTTCCCAATGCTCACCCCACACTAGGGGTCGTCAATTATTTTTTCTCAGGGTCCTAATTTCTTGGGCAAGGTACAGTCAAGGTCCAGACTTCAGAGAAACAGTTTTCACACCGCAATAACAATGATAGTAATAAGTACATAAAAAGATGTAATGGTCTGTTCACAAGCATCTGACAGTCCAGATTTGGCCCACAGGCTGCCTAGTGCCCCACACTGAACCAGCTGTTCCCCGAGCCTGATGTGGTTTGTCTGTGCAGGGGACGCTGGAGGGGAAGGAGGTCCAGGCTGGCCAGGAGGAGCAGGAGGAAACAGGATACTCAGCTAAGGATGCTGAAACCTCTGCCAGGACCCAGCGCTTGGAGCCAAAATCCCTTGCACTGGATGTAGGCTCTGCTCCCGAGGACATGGGTACCAGCTCCTGCCTCCCATGGGGTACCCAGCTGTCAAAGCCAACTGGCCAGGCTACCCTCGGGTCCTGCTCAGTCCCTCATGCTGTGCCAGAGCTGATGGTACAGGTCACACGCACCCAGCCCCAGGTGGCACAATGTAGAACCACAGACAGGGCATCCAGCTGTGGCTTGGGGCTCACTGTGGTGAGGGAGGGCGACGCGGCCATCCAGCTGTGGCTTGGGGCTCACTGTGGTGGGGGAGGGCGACGCGGCCATCCAGCTGTGGATTGGGGCTCACTGTGGTGGGGGAGGGCGACGCGGCCATCCAGCTGTGGATTGGGGCTCACTGTGGTGGGGGAGGGCGACGCAGCCACCCAGCTGTGGATTGGGGTTCACTGTGATGAGGGAAGGCGACGCGGCCATCCAGCTGTGGATTGGGGCTCACTGTGGTGGGGGAGGGCGACGCAGCCACCCAGCTGTGGATTGGGGTTCACTGTGATGAGGGAGGGCGACGCGGCCATCCAGCTGTGGATTGGGGCTCACTGTGGTGGGGGAGGGCGACGTGGCTATCCAGCTGCAGAGCAGGGTCCCTGCATGAACAAACTCAGTGGTGGGCATAGGTGCAGCCCCAAAGCAGGCTGCCACTGCAGCCATGCTCTTCAAGGCCCATGGTACAGGTGGGAGCAGGGGGCGGGCAGGTTCCATTCTAATTCCCCTCCCGGTAACAAATACTCTGTCCCTGCCAGCCCCCAAGGAGGCCTGTGAGCCAGCGCCGGAGAGCAGCAGCGACACACAGACCACAGACAGTGACGAGATCGTGGTGGGGACCAGCCTGGGGAGCCCTCCAAAGGCGGTAATGCCCCCACCCCTGAGGCAGTGCTGGAGGAGAGGGTGCACAGACCCATGGGGAGGGAGCCATGCCAGGTACAGGAGTCGGGGAGGAGCATGGGGCAGCTACAGCTTGTCGTGACAGTGCTGAGCCCTACTGGGTTCCGAAGTGGGGGAGAGGGGAGCTTGGCTCAGCCAGCCTCCCCCACCCCCTGCAGAAGAGTTTGGGGCCCTGGTTCCCACCCTCTCAGGCCTTGTGTGACCTGCTCTCACCTCATCTTGTCAGGACATGGAGTGGATCCGCATTGAGATCGTCTCTCTGAGTCTGCACCCTGAGGCCGTGGCCTGTGAACACATCCAGCAGCTGTACGTGGAGTACCACTTCCCAGGGGTGCCCCTGGCTGAGACTGAGACCCCCCTGTCCCTGCGCAAGCCCCAGGGCAGTGAGGAGATCTACTTCCACTTCAGCAAGGGTGAGCTGCTGTGGGGAGGGTCTGGCTCTCGCCCTTCCCACAGCCCTACCCCCCAGAGGCAGGGCGGGTGTCTCATGCCTCATGGGGGGGATGGGGATGACACACAGGTGGAGACAGGAAAAGCATCTCTCCCCCGCCCCGGGACAGAGCTCATACCTAGGCCTTTGGGCCCAGGTCTGCAGGGCATCACTCCAGGCCCAGAACAGCGGTGCTGTTGTTGGGAAAAGGAGGCCATGACTAGTTTAATAGCCCCACTTTCCTCAGCCCCCTCCCTGGGACTCAGCTCCCCCACTGCCAGGGCAAGCTGACAAAGGCCCCACGTCCTCGACTCTTGTTGCGCTGAGCGGCCTGGCCCAGGCCCCCCACAGGGGGCTCCCTCCCCACAGGGAGAAGGTGGCGCTGGACCACTAGCAGCCTGGGAAGAGGAGCAACACTGGGGAGCTTGGAGATGGGTCGGCTGTCACCATCTGGCCCCAGGGGAGCATCAGATTATTGCCCTGAATCCTCCCCTTGGTCCCCCCCCTCAGTCCCCAGCAAGCATCACCCTGACTCCTCCTCTTGGTCCCCCCCCAGTCCCCAGGGAGCATCGCCCTGACTCCTCCCCTTGGTGCCCCCCCCACTGAGCATTGCCATGGCTAACAGCCTTTTGCCCCCACCACAGTGATTCAGCTGGACACCGAGGGGGTGAGCATGCAGCGGGAACGCCTCTTCTCCATGCTGCAGGCAGAGGAGGCAGGGCAGAGCTGGTGAGCGTCCTGGCTAGGGACAGGAATTCCAGTCCCTTGGGATAAAGGTCCCCAGCACATACCCCTGCTGCACCCACCCCCATCCCCTCCCCGTACAGGCTCTTACAGCCTGCTCATCACCTCTTCTGAGCATGTTCCTGTAAGTGCCTGAACACTGTGACCAATATCCGCCCCATGCTTGTTCTCTCCTGTGGGTGGAGCATGTGCACCCATGCTGCTGTAGGTTAGAGAAGGCAGATCAAAGGAATGTGCCGGGAGGTCTGTAATGGTCCTTAGCTCTTGGAGGCATTTGTTTCACACAGGCCCAACGTGCCCCTCCGCAGCTTTACACTTCCTGCAGAAGGCCCCCTTGGCCAGAAGAGTAAAGCTGTCAGGAAGAGCCCTCCTCCCTGAGCTTTTGGCTCTTTTAGATCCCCTGGGCCCAAGCCATTGAGTGCACTAGAGGTGAGGACAGCGCCCTTCAGCTTGGCTTTTCTGTGGGGAGCCGGGGTAGGATGGGCTGGATGCAGGTGCAGGATCCAGACACACTGCCCCCTTACTGCAGGCTGCAGTTCGTGGTGGTGAACGAGCCCCCGCCTGGGACTGGAGGCGAGTGTGAGGACGTGGGCTTTGCCTATGTAGACCTGCACGAGATCCTGCTGACAGGCAATGATGTGCTGGAGCGTGACCTCGATGGTGAGTGACGAAGCCAGCAGCACCCAAACGAGCGGTCTCCACTGCTGAGCTGCTGCCTCTGTTCCCCTGCACGCCACCTGCATGAAAGGGGGCCAGTGGAGCAAATAAGAGGCCAGGGACCTGGCCACTGAACTGGGATCTATACCTGGGAGCCAACCTCCCTCCATGTCCTGGGAGCTGCAGCAGTGCAAGTCCTGTCCCTTCCCAGGGCTGGGGGAGGCAAGTCCTACACCAGGCCCAGCCAGAGAATGGCCCTGGAGAAACACTGACCCCTCCCCTCACTTCCGCTCTCTTACCCACTCCCGGCAGTTGTCAGCCCTCAGGACCGCTCTGCCATCGGGAGGCTGAAGGTCTCTGTGGAAGCAGCTGCTGCCCTCTGCGCCATCTACTGGGAGGGGAGACGAAAGGCTGAAGAGGAGGAATGAGGGCTCCATCAGCTCCCACAAGGCGTGCAAGGACTTGGGACTGTAAGGTTCAAAAGGGGACCCCTCCCCCAGCTCAAAGCTCACTAGTGAAGGATGCCACCCCGCCTGAGCAATCAACACGACTCAGATTGTGAGCTCTTCGGGGCAGTGCCTGTCCCTGCTCTGTCTATACAGAGCCTAGCATAAGGGGGTCCTGGGCTCCCAGGTGCTGCCGTAATACAAACAACAACAATAGGTGACCAGCTTCCCCTCCCCACTGACTGAACAGACTCAGCACCTGGAAAAGGTGAACTTACAAAAACACATTTTATTGTTTCAATTCTCCAAAGTCGAAAATCCAAGAGCTACCGGCTATGAAAAAAAATTAGAGCCCTCCCCTGCCCCATCACCCCCCAGGGGCCTCCCTCACCAGCAAGCAGCAGGGGCAGGTGATGGGGGCCCATGGGAGATGACACGATAAAACCCCCCAAAACAAAAGCATCTCTCCTACCAGAGGCTTGACTTGGCAACTGAGGAAACGAGATAAATACGGAACAGAGCCAGGCGAGTAAAAAACAAGAAGCTGGATCCTCTCAGGGCTAGACCACTCCCCCCATGCACCCCACTCCTGGCAGGGCTGGGCCACTCCCAACCCCTCCAGTGCTGAGGAAGGCAGTAGCAGGGATGGGATGGACCTGTAGGTGCCAGCCCTGCACAGTCTACCCCCCGCCTTGGTTACCAGCACCCTGAGGATGAAGTCCGAGACACTCAGAGATCCTCTGCGCTGGCTGCGTCTCCCCAGAGCTGTTGGGAAACAGGGGATGATTCCATTGCCAGAGACTCCCTGGGGGGAGAAAGCAGCAGCCTGCGCCATGGCCATACCTACACCTCACAAGGGAATGTGGGGGTGACTAGGGAGGGACCCCAGGAGGGACTGAAGGGGGTGGGGCGAGCAATCACTGACACCAGCGTCCTTACTCCGAGAGGCCTCTTCCTCCTCTTCATTGGCAGTGCTCATGTCCATGGTTACAGGCAGGCGGGGCCTGGAATTCTCACAGCTGATTGGTCCGTACAAATGGCCAGAAAAACTCAAGAAACAAAAACAGGGAAAATTGAAAACAGGAAAAGACAAAAGTTTGTGGGTGGGGCATGGTGCCCCCCCCCACCCTGGGATTGGCTGTTGAGCAGGGTCTGGTGCCCCAGGCTTCGCTGCTGGGGAGGGTCAGAGTTCACTGCCTACTTCCTCTTCTTCTTGGGGGGCCCCGAGCTGCGGCCTGGGCTGCGGCTGTGGGAACTGCGGCGGCTGGAACTGTGGGCTGGGCCCTTCCTCTTCCTGCTGAGGCTGCGGCTTTGCTCCTCCTCTTCCTCGTACCGGCTCTCCCGGTCCGCTAGGGGAGTAGGATGGGGGTCAGGGCATGGTTGTGTAACCCACCAAACTGCTGGAGCGGGTGAGAGGCTGGTACCTATCCCCACCAACACCCTCCACTACCAGCTCTCCTGTCCTACTGCAAGGCAACAGGAGGTGCAGGGCTCTGTCCCCTCCCCCATAACCATTAGGGGTCAGAGTGAACAGGGTGTCACAAGGAAACCCAGATCCCATGGCCCCTGTGTGCATTTGGGAAATGTCCCAAGGGCTGGCACTCACCTTTCCTGGCCTCCTCCTCCAGCTCGTCCCAGTCCTTCCCACTCTCCTCCTCGCTGCCCATGGATTCCTTGGAGTAATCTGCAAATGGAGACAGGAGCTCAGAGGATGGCCCTGTGCACAGCGCCACCCCACAGCTCAACCCTCTGTCCAATGGAGGGAACCATCCCCCTGTAATGGAACAAGGGGCCTAATCCCACCTCACCTCACCCCACCCCTCAGAATGGGAGCACAGGTGGGAGGGGGAAATGAGGCAGGACAGAGCAGGCAGTGTGTGGAGGATAAGGGAGGGCTCCCAGGAGAAGGGGGTAGGGGTGACTCCTGCTGCCAGCAGGGTGTACTCTGCCAGGTGACCCCTCAGGGTTAGACCCCCAGCACAGAGGCTTGGTGCCAAGAACCCTTCCACCCCCAGCCTAAGCTGCAGGGGCCTCCTCACCTGATTCCTCAGCCTCAGAGGAGTAATCTTCATCACTGTCCTCTTCCTCCTCCTCATACTCATCCTCCGAGGGGTTAAATGTCTCATCCTCAATCTCCGACTCTGACTCCCCAACCTCAGCATCACTGCCCTGGTGAGAGATCGCAGCCAGGAATCAGGACTCCTGGGTTCTATCCCCAGTTGTCACTGATTCACTGGGTGATCTTCAGTGATTCCCATAGGTCATGGGGGGCAGAAAGAAGTGGGAGTGAGATCAAATTAATTAATGTTCATTGGGCTCAGATACCAGGGTGTCCAGAGGAAATCTAAGTAATCCCCCCAACCACCATCCCTTTGCAGGGGCCCTTCCCCCTTGGGAGACAGAGCTCCCCCCTCCTCCAGGGGAGTCAGAGTCCAGTCCCCCCCATACCTCTCCCTCGGGCTCCAGGAACGACCAACCCCCCTGCTCGAAGAAGCCCTCAGGGTCATCCACAATCGTCTTCATGATTTTGGTCCAGTTGAGGGACTGCACCCCCTCCGTGTACTTCAGGTCACAAGAGCTAGGGAGAAAGGAGAGATCAGTATTGGGTCCCAGTGGATGAGGGTACTGGGACTGGGGGGGAATTGTATCAGGAGGCTCCAGAGTGGATAAAAATTGATGATTTAAAATAAATAAAATCAGATTTTTTATCTAAATAGGATTTACTTTATATAAAACTAAACAGGTTTACTTTTTAAAAAAAATAAAGCTATTTAAAATTATGACAACCTATGTTAAGACCTAAACTTACTATAATCTATTTACATTAAATTTAAATATTTTTATCAGTAAATATTTGCTACCAACTTTTAAGGAAAGTTAAACCACTGAATTGGTGGAAGTAGCTGGCCAAGCATTTGGAACCAGAGTTTGTTGAAGGCCTAACAAGCTTTTAATAGAAATAGCTTCCTCTGCAAGTGCAGAGAGAATATTGTCTTCATTTCCGTGCGTTCCAAGTTCAGTTCAATGACTAGTTTTCAAAATTGAAAAACCTATTGGGAATTGGAAAAGCTTCCTTTGCTTAATTGGTTGTAAAATGCAAAACATGTTTAGATAAACTTTGATATACTTTTTTGGCATGTATCCAGCACATTAAGACAGTTTATTTAACGAATAAAAAAGCATTTTACAATGGTTTTGTGCATTTTTGAATTGGATTTGAATTTCAATCCAAACAGAGCTTGGCACAAACCAGAAGTAAAAAATCATCATCAAGATATGGATCATTCACCATTTTCTAACAGAATAAAAAATGTAAAATTAAGAATCTGAATGAACTGTAAACTGCTATCATTGCTGAAATAACTGTGTATAGATATAGATAGCATGTCCTCCTGGGTAGCAAAAAGAACTAAATGTAGCATAAAGGCTGTATTCAGTTGCAGATCAACTTGTTTTAATTGTTACCAGCCAATGAGAATCAACCTTTCTTTAGGGGAAAACCCCCCCGAAAAAGTACGAATGCAAAACACGATTAAAATAGATTTAAATCATGATTAAAAACTGGTGATTTAAAGTCCCTTGATTTAAATCATTCCACTCGGGGGGGGGGGGGGGGGGATCAGAGTCCTGGTGTGTGTGGGGTAGGCACCAGGAGAGGCGTCTGGGGGGGGGGGGGGAAGGGGGACAATCCTTGGTGGGGACCCCCCAGTTGATGGCGTTGGTGGGTACAGTGAGGAGGCTGGGAGCTGGGGGATCGGGATCCTGGTGAAGTAGGTCTCAGTGGAGGGGTCAGGGGGCATCATTCCTCAGTGGAGACCCCCCCAGTTGCTGGAATTGGTGGGTATGGTGTGGATCAGGATCCTGATGAGGCAGGTATCAGGGAGGAGGATGGGGGGGGTGTCACTCACTTGAGCCACTCCTTGATGGGGTCGAGGGAGGCCACGGGGATGGCATTGATCATGGTCACTTTCTTGCTGTAGTCCTTGTAGACAATGACCATGTCAAAGTTCTTCAGGTGGAACTGGACTCGCTCAAAGTGAATGAGCTCCACCTCATCCAATGTCACCACGAACGGAGGCTGCAGGGGAGGGGTGGGGTCAGGCCCAGGATGGAGACACCCCCTCACCAACCCTGGGACAGAGACCCCCTGCCAATGAGGCCAGTAGTCACAGGGGACAGAGCTGCACCCCCAAGTCCCTTCCCACCCTACAGTGCCGGTGCTCGCCCTGAGCTCCGCCCACCCCCATAAGCACCCAGGCAGGTCCCTTGGGACACAGGTTTGTGCCAGGTCCTGAGCCGGGGAGAGACTGGGGTGGGGGCATGAACAGGTCCCCCACAGACACTCACCCACTCAGTGCAATTCACCAGGGCACTGCTGGTCGGCTGGAGCAGGCAGGTGCTTCTGTAGGGGGCGCCATTGAACCTGCCAGAGAGAGCAAAGCGAGCGAGGTCAGTGAGAGCCACAGACCCAGAGTGGGGGGGGAGGGGCCAGACTGAACCCCTGGTGGGCATCTTGTGTCAGACTGTGCCCACGGGGTCCAGGGCCACAAATCCCCAGGTCCCAGAAGGCACCCTCCACGCCCCCAAAGATCCCGGAAGGGCACCCTCCACACTCCTGCTCCCCCACAAAGGTCCCAGAAGGGGACCTCCATGCCCCTGCTCCCCCCATCCCTAGGAGTGCCAGAAGGGCACCTTGATGCCCTAGTTCACCCCCTTACCCTAGGTCCCGAAAGGGCACCTCGAACTCCAGCTCCTCCTTGGTCAGAGCCTCCACCTTCTCGATGAAATTCTTAAAGGCCGTTTTCAGCTTGTGCCTCATTTCGCGCTCCATCTGCATGGGGCACAGGGACATCAGCCAGGCTCTCAGGGAGATTCCCTCCCTTCTGAGCCCCCCACCTACCCTCACGCTCCATCTGCATGGGGCACAGGGACAACAGCCTGTCTCCTGGGGATAGGAGCCCCCTAACGTAACCCCTCACTCTCCATCTGCAGGGTCAGCACAGCCTCCTAAGGACAGAGACCCCCTCAGCCCAGTCCCCTCTCATCTCGCACTCAATCTGCAGGGGCAGCAAGGTCAGCCTGGAGGCTGCCCCTCCACTGCAGCCTACCCCTGCCCCACATCTCACCTGCTCAGCGTAGAGGTCGTCGCGGTCATGCATGTGCTGGTGCTTGCCCAGGTCTGTGGTGATCTCGCCCACCTCGGTGTAGAACTGCACATCCGTGTGCCGCTTCTTCCCAAACATGATAGCATTCTGGGGGAGTGGAGGGGGGCATGAAGGCTCCATTGTGTCTCTCACACCCCACACCAGCCCCCGGGTCAAACCCTGCAAGAGTCCTCCCCAGCCCCGCACAGAACAGGGCAAGATCAGGCCCGGAGATGGTTCCTGGGGGCACAGGGGCCCTACCTTGAGGTGGAAGTGCAGCACGATGATCATCTCCCCGTCACAGGGCTGGAACAGCGCGTGTTTGATGTTGTTGTACAGAATGTCGACCTTGTCTCCCCGCACGGAGGTGAAGCGGAAACCTGCCCAAGAGACAGACAGTGAGAGGGGACCCTTGGGCTGGAGCGCAACTAGGAGGAGGCTGTCCCTGGACTGGGGCTGGGAGCCGAGCGGGCTGGGGGAAGGGGCCCTTACCATTGACGTGGGCCTCTAGTGAGCCTTGCATCCTCTTCTGGGCGATGTTGGGCCGGATGTACAGGTCCTTTAGCTTGGGGTTGCTCCGGTTCAGGTTAATGATGAGCGAGTCTTGCTTGACAATGCCCTAGAGAGAGATGATGAGAGCCAGGAAGTGAGATCCCGCGGAGCACAGAGCCCGCCGTGTGTTAGCGTCTCTGCCTGAGACCAGGATACGGGGTCAACTTTTCCCAGGCTCCCAGGGGCTCTCCGCTCCTGGCTCACCTCCTTCTCCTTCTCCTCTGCCTCCCGGGTCTTGTAGCGTTTCTGCACCTCCTTGATAATGCGGAAGGCGTTCTGCAGGTTGAGGGCTGGCACGGTCTGCTCACCCGGCGTTTTCATGTTGGAGGCACGATATGTGCTGGGGGAGGTGCGGTAAGCGGTTACTGGCCATAACAGCACTGCATGTATGCAGCCCCTGCCCCACACAGCCCATGGGGCACTTCGGTGCCCAGCCCCCACAGGAAGTTGGTGCCTAGTCTCCCCGCTGCCCCATACAGCAGGCTGTCAAGCTCCGCCATGTACAGAGGCCAAGAGCCCAGGTCACACAGCCAGACTATGCCAGAGCCAGGAGTCCTGAGTCCCAGCCCAGCCTGGGGCGCGAGGGGGCTGTAGGGGAGCGGTTGGGGAAGGTCGTCCAAGCAGTGGGCAGAGGGTGGGGGGCGGCGGAAGGGGGCACTCACATTTCCTTGACGAAGGTGGCCTCGGGGTTGGGGAAGATGTTGCCCTCGTTGCGCCCCAGGGCACTGCCTGGGCAGTAGAAATTGATGCGCAAGTAGGTGTAGTCACCCTCCACTGACATGCTGATGTTCTGCACCACAGGGAGGTCGGGGGGTCAGTCAGACTGTGCGCCCTGAATGCGGCTGGTGACTTTTCTGTACCCCGGCTCCCACCTGTAAGCACCCTTCCCCTCACCCCCCAGCTCCATTCCCCAGGGTTCCCGCCGGCAACCGCCCCCCCCAACTCCACTCCCCAGAGCTCCTGCCTGTAACCCCCCCATTCCCCAGGGCTCCTGCCTGCATGGCCCCTAGAGGCAGGGCCTCTGGGGGAAACGGCCCCCACTTTCCTTCGAGCTGAAGAACCAACACAACCCTCAACCCAACAGGTTCCCTAACCCCCTCCCTGTCTTATTGGCTGAGGAGTCACCTTCCCGGCCTGACAGTGGCCACGCAGAAGCATGCAGGCTCCCCATTACGCAGCCCCCCATACCTTGATGGTGGCGATGTGGAAGGGTGTGGCAATGCCAAAGACTGGCATGATGACAGTCTCGTATTTCTTGTCAATGTAGATCTTCATCTCCCGGATGTGTGGCTCCTTGGGCATCAACGATGGGTTCTTGTAGGAGATGTTCGATTTGCGGGCCCTGGGTGGGGTGGGGGAAGATGAAACAGCACAGCCCCCCGGAGCCTCCAAATATCCAGCAGGCAGGCACAGCCGCCCTCCAAAACACAGCACAGTCCCCAGGCCCCCAGATATCCAGCAGGCACACACAGCCTCCCTCCGAAACACGGCACAGCCTCTAGGGCCCCCAGATATCCAGCAAGCATGCACAGCTTCCCCCCGAAAAACGGCACAGCGCTCCTTCTCCGGCACCACACTTCCACGGAACCCCAGATCACCCACAGATACAGCTCCAAACCAGGCCCTCCATACATACATACACACAGAGTGACAGGTAGCAACCCTGAGGCCTGCTCCACTTCTGGATCCACTCCCCCACAACCCACTTCTGGATCTGCTCACCCCACCCCCAGGCTCTCCTCCCACTCACTTCTAGAGTCACTCCCCTCCCTGCCCCCCCATCTCCCCACTCACTCCTAGATCTGCTCTCACCCCCAAGTTCCCCTTCCACTCACTTCTGGATCTGCTGCTCGCCCTTCTGCTCCGTCAGCCGCCGCTTGGCCTCCTCGTTGAGCTGCATGGCCAGCTCCTTCTGGTGGGCTCGACGCTTCTCCTCCGCCGTCAGCTCATTCTGGGGGTAGCAGGAATGCGAGTGAGGCCCAGACCCAGACCCCAGCTCAGCAGCCCAGCCACCACCCTGCCCCTGAGCCAGCTCCGCAGCCACAGGGACCACTCAGCCCCAGTCCCATAGGAGCATGGGAATTTCCCTTGTGGGGAAATTAGCTCCCCCAGCCCCTTCTGAGCTGCAGGGACCCCTGCCGGTGTCCCACGCAGGCTCTGGAGCCCAACCAGCCCTGGCCAGCTCCCCATGGCAGGAGGAACCGCACCCGCGTCCGCTCCGTCAGCAGAGCTGCTGCTCGGGAGCTGCGCCCCAGCAGGTCTTCAGCCTCGTCTTTCTCCTCCTCTTCCTCCTCCTCATCTTCATTCTGTGGGAGATGGACAGAATGGTCAGAGCTGGTCCCCCCACCCTTTACACCTCTGCCCCCACGTTTCCTTGCACCCTTCATCCTCCACCACACTGGAAGGGATGTGCTAGGATTTACGCTGGGGTCATTCGCTGGCTTGCATTCTGCAGAACGTCAGACCAGAGGGTCGTAATGGTCCCTTCTGCCTTGGGAACCTACAAATCTATGAAATGTTGCCACTTTGCCCCACAACATCTCCCAGGCCCACCCCCACCCAGCACCTTGAGGACCTTCTGTCATCCCCTCCTCCACACAGAACTCCCTGCCCCCGAAGCATGGGAGCCCCGGCATGCCCTGCTCTGATATCGAGTCTGCCTTCCCCCCACCTCTCCCGCACCCCAAACCTCACCTTGAGGAAGATGCCAACGTTTTTGACCTTTTTCTTAACAGAAGTGAGAATGGTGGCCGGGCCGTCCTTGGAGAGCAAAGAGAGAGTCAGAGGGGGGAGCAGATGGCAGCCCATAACGCACATGGGGCAGAAAAGCATAAAATACTCACCCTGTACGCCCCCCATCCACCAGCATGGTGCCCCCCAAATAACCCTGCGTGCCTCCCCACCCCCACGGTGCCCCCCAAATAACCCTCTGGCCCCGCCTCACACCTCATCCACCAGCATGGTGCTCCCCAAATAACCTTGCGGCCCAACCCTCAACACCCACCTCATCCACCAGCACGGTGTCTCCAACGAACAGTGCGTATGTTCGCTCCTCTGGTTTCTTCCCTTCCTTGTTAGTCAGGTCAGAGAAGCCCACGTTGATGCTGAATACCATCCCTGCCAGCCAGATGAGAAAGGAGGTGACACGCTCAGGGAGGCCCAGGCTGGGGTGGCAGGGCCCGGGGGACATGCAGGGAGGTCAGCAGTCGCCAACCAGTCCACATGCACAGGCAGCAGCTGCACACGGAGCTACACACGAGCAGGATTCCCCTCCCTGCATATGCTTTAGGGGAGGCTCCCGCCTGCAGGAAAAGAGATTTCGAGCCTCAAGGGCTGCATAGGGGGTGGTGTAGGGACTGGGTACCTGACTGTGAGGACAATGGGGGTCTCTCCCCATAACTAAGCTGGCTCTGAGGGCATGGGAATGCGATGGCATCAGCAAGAAGGGATCTGTGTGTGTGTGGGGGCGTCTCTCACCTTTCTTGAGCCGGTGCTGGTTCTTGCTGTTGATGACGAGGGAGCCCTCTCTGAACTCGATGCCCATGGCAAATCTGTGAAGAGTCCAGGGGGCAGTCACATTACCCATAGCCACCCTCTGGCCCTGGCAATGCTCCCTGCCCCATAGACCCGGCGCCAGTCCCTGCCCTACACCAGGCTGGGCAGATATTGCAGGCACCACTCCAGCAGGAGCCTAGAGCCTCGCCCCTGAGCCAGGCTGAGCTGTGCAGGCCCTGGGCACATGGGGGCTGGGCTGCGGCTGGAACCCAGAGCAGGGTTCTCTTCCCCTAGGTTCTGGATGCTCATGCTCAGCAGACTCAGGGCGGCTGATGCAGGGTGTGCGGTGCGTGTGGGTTTGTGTAGTGGGTGTTGGGGGGGCGGTTTCTTACCCCAGGTTCTTGGTGATCTTGTTCAGCAGCTCCGGTTTCTGCTTCTTCACCACATCCATGACGGCAGCGTAGACCTCGCACAGCTTCACGCCTGGGGGAGTCTCAGCGTGAGCACTAGGTGGCGTGATGTCCTCCCCTTCCCTCCCACCTGGGCCAGGGCAGCATCACATCCCAGTCCCACACCCCGGGGGCCGGGCAGTGCGACATCCTCCACTGCCCCTCCTCCCATCAGGGCAGCAGAACCCCTCCCCACTTCCCCAGCACACACCCCCGCATCACCCCTACTCACCATGCCGCAGCTCCTTGAGCAGCTCCTCCTGCAACTGCAGGAGAAAGGTGTAGTTGTCCTGCACCTCCTGGGGCGGGTCCACCATGAGCGTGCGCACCAGGTTGGAGCAATAGGATTTGTAGCGGATGCCCATGGCGCAGGTGATGGCCCCAAAGTGCATGTGGTTCTTGTCGCTAGTGGATGGACAAAGAGAGGTGGATTTCAGGGAGGCGCTAGTTATGGGCTGGGCGTGGGGTGTCTGGGGGCTGAGCCAGGAGTCCCTGGATCTTGGAAAAGGCAGGACCAGACAGACCGACCCAACCCAACCAGCAGCACCAGCTCCCTGACAAGTCTCCAGCATTGGGCGGTTCTGGGGGAAGCGAGGCCTGACCCTGGCCCTCATCTGCCTGCTCAGCAGAGGTAGGGGTGGGGCGGCTGGGTGCGAGGGCTAGGAGCCCTGCAGGCACTGACCTGACGACACTGAACTTGAGGTTGTAGTTGCCGCCGCTCTGGATGATGGGGGGATAGCACATCTCCACTGTGGAGGGGTCAGCCCCTGACAGGTACTTTTTCTCCTCGATGGCCTTCTCCACCGATTCTGCCAGCTTGCTGTGCCGCACTTTCTGTGGGGCACATGGAGACTTCGAGTAGGAACAGCCAGATGGACCACAGGATTTGCCAGCATCCCAGGCCCAAGTCACCTCCCAGCTGCAGCTCAACCCCTACCAGCCCCCCTGCCGCCACCTCCAAGCCGCGGCTCACCCCCTACCAGCCCCCACATCCCATCCACAGCTCACCCCACCACACCCCAAGGCCTCCCTACCCTCTCACCTCGTCAGCGTCGACAATCTCCATGACCCGCTCCTTGAAGAATTTGTTAAAGACCTCAGAGGTGATGGCAGCCGCTTTGCGCATCAGGTTCAGTTCCCCATCCTCCTTCACTGCGATAGTGTAGGCCACGACTGCGCTGATATCTACCTGCTCCAGGGACAGGGAGAGGGTGAGGGGAGCAGGTAGAGCTCCTCACATCCCTGCCTTGGCATAAGGCCACAACCCCACTGATATCCGCCTGCAAAGCCAGAGATGGGGGGAAGGGAGCTCCCCTCCACCCATCCTGCCACCCAGCTCACCTTCTCAAAGCCCTCCTTGCTGAGGCAATCATTCCAGTTCTTCATGAACTCCCCGGGGAACTTGTCCTTGCTGAAGACCCCAATGCGCTTCCCGCTCTTGCTGCCCTTCAGTGCCTCAATCATCTTCTCAAAGTTCCCCTTGTTGCTCTCGTTCTGCAGAGGGCAGGGGTAGGGTTAGTCCCCCAAAACGGGGGAGTGGCATTAGGGAGGAGGCAGGTTGCACCACCAGAGTCCCTGTTGGTTACCCCCAGCCCTTCACCCTGCCAACATTCCTCAACTGCCCCATAAGCAGCAACCTCAACCTCCTCCCAGCCCAGTGTGCACAACCTTCCACCACCCCCGACTCCCATGGGCTGAACCTTCCTGCAACTCTCAATGGGTGCAGCACAACACCCTCAACATTCCCCCAGCCTGGAGTGTAAATCTTCATTCCCTCAGCATGCACCACCCCATGCTGGTATGGACACCCCGCTGTGCAGTGCCCCACAACCGCCAGGCGGCACCCAACACACTCACCTTCTCCCGCACGAGCAGCGTGATGGTCGGCACGCCATTGGCGTTCTCGCTGCCCTTGCTGTTGGCGATCTGCTTCAGGAACTCCACCTTCTTCTTGCTGGCCATGAACAGGATCTTGTCCACGCAGAAAACCATGATGGTGTCGGTGAGCTCGTAGCCAAAGAGCCACGTCTGCAGGAAGGGGAACCATGAGGGAAAGGAGTCACTCCTCCCCATGGCTCTCCATCAGAGACTCCCCTCACCCCCCACTAGTGCTACCCCAACCTCCCCTCTGCTCAATGCTTTCCTCATTCCCAGCTTCAGCAGCATCCTCCACGGATTTCCCTCCTACTGACCTGCAGGGCAGTGGACTTGGCATAGACAATCTCCTCATCCACCCCCACCGAGACCACGATGGCGTCGACGTTGGCATAGTCATCCTCTCCCTTCTGCAAGGGAAGCAGAGGGAAGCGAGGGCTTGGGTCTCTCCTCCACTAGCTGCCCCAAACCATGTCATGCTAATCAGAAAGGCTCATTTGACCTCTCTGGGCTCTCAATGACCTGTAGCCTCAGAGGAGCTGCCCAGGGCTTCAAAGGGTAGGGAGCAATCCTAATGTTGTGATATGAACCCGGAGGGTTCTCAGACAGGACAGAGCAGAAACCGAAGCGGAAGCTCAGAGACCGGCAATGAGGAAGGAAGTGTGTTTAGCAGAGATGAATGAGAAAGGAGACAACAGCTGACTACAAAATTGGACAGCGAAGACTCTTTAGCCTAAGGGAGTTAGGTACCCAACCTGCAATTCAATGACTGCTGGGCACCTAACTCCCTTTGAAAATCCTAGCCTCTCACGTGGGCAGAGATGGCCTAAGCTACCTGAGGGATTTGGACACCCTAGTCCCATCAACGTGAACAGAAGTGGGCACCCAAATCCCCTAGGCAGGTTAGAAAAGCTGAAACACATGGCACATTTCTCGGCTCCAGATAGCAGAGAAAAACCTGGGAACGCGACTCACATGCTACCCAAAGACTTAGAAACCAAACAGCAAAAAAACCAAAACACAAGACATCAAAGTTCATTTAAGAAAAAAATCACCATTTTAGGCCCATCTCATGATTTTGGAGCATTTGGGGCTGGAGTAGGGCATTCTACTGATGGGAAACTGAAGCATGGGGAGGCTAAGGGACAGGCCCAAACTCTCACAGAGAGTCTGTGGCAAAGCAGGAAGTTGAACCCAGGTCCTCAGAGTCCCAAGCCCCTTGTCCTGTGCACCCTTTGATCTTAACACAGCTCTGGTGGCTGCATCCACCTTCAGCTCTGTACTTAGATCACAAATGACTTAGGGAGGCCCCTTCTGTGCAGCCCCGAGCAGGACGGCGCTCCCATTCCGCCTTGGAGGCTGCTAGGCGGGCAATAAACGGCGGGCGGGGGGCAGGCGGGGGCACAGCAGAGCTCAGAGCGGGGCACTGCACCGCTAGCAGCCAGCGGGACCCCTCACCACCAGATCCCCTCACGGGTGGGGGGCTCACGGCAACATGGCACCTTTCCAGGGCGCCTGAGAGCCCCACGCTGGGTGGGGGAGGAGAACCCGGCACCCCACGACGGCGCCCTGGGGCGACCCCGAGCAGCGACCCCGCCCCGGGCCACTGCCCTGCTCCCAGGCTGGAGAGGGCAGGGCAGGGCTAGGGACAACCTGGGGCTGAGGGAGAAGCTGGGTCGCGCGGACGCTGGGGCGAACGGGGGGGCCAGTCCCCGCACCCGCCGGCGGGAGGGGCTCCGGGGCCGCGCCCGGGCACCTCGGGGGGCTCGGGCTTGGCGGGGGCAGGGAAAGGGGGCCCCAGCGACGGCCGCCGGGGGCGCAGGCCGGAGGAGAGCACTGGCCGGGGCGCTCAGGCTGGGCAGCCCCGGGGGTCTCCCCACGGCGGGGTCCCGCGGGAGGGGGGCCCGGGCCGCACCTGCCAGTTGCCATAGAGACGCTTGACGCGGCGGTAATAGGCCTCGCGGTCCAGGCTCAGCGCCATGGAGACTCCGACTCGGCTCGTCCCCGCGCGCCAGGCCCCGCCGCGGCCCCTCGCCCGCCGGAAGCACCTTCCACCGCCCCGCCTCCCGCGACCCGCTTCCGCTTCCGGGCCGCCGCCTCGCGCCCGCGGGGCCTCCCCGCCTTTTTCGCGGCTTTTTTTCCGCTCCTGCCACCGCGCGGCCCCGAGACGCCCCGCCCCGCCCCGCCCGCGCGCGAACGGCCTCCAACAGCGGGGCGCTCACCGGGCACGTGACCCTGCCACGCGCGGGGATCCTGGACACGCCCCTTCCCACGTGCCCAGCACATGGTCACGCCGCCGCGCGCCCTCGACCACGTGACCCCCTGGCTCCCACGCGGAGCCCCCCCCGCAGGAAACGTAATGCGCGCTCACGGGGGGAGTGGCCCAGCCCCCCCCCCCAAGCTATGGGGGGGAGAGGGAAGGGCAGGGGGCCCCTTGGACCCGGCGGCGGATGGGGGGAGGGAGAAGGGCAGGGGGCCCCTTGGGCCCGGCGGCGAATGGGGGAAGGGAGCGGGGCAGGGGGCCCCTTGGGCCCGGCGGCGGATGGGGGGAGGGAGCGGGGCAGGGGCCCCTTGGGCCCGGCGGCGGATGGGGGGAGGGAGCGGGGCAGGGGGCCCCTTGGACCCGGCGGCGGATGGGGGGAGGGAGAAGGGCAGGGGGCCCCTTGGGCCCGGCGGCGAATGGGGGAAGGGAGCGGGGCAGGGGGCCCCTTGGGCCCGGCGGCGGATGGGGGGAGGGAGCGGGGCAGGGGGCCCCTTGGGCCCGGCGGCGGATGGGGGAAGGGGAGCGGGGCAGGGGCCCCTTGGGCCCGGCGGCGGATGGGGGGAGGGGAGCGGGGCAGGGGCCCCTTGGGCCCGGCGGCGGATGGGGGGAGGGAGGCGGGGCAGGGGGCCCCTTGGACCCGGCGGCGGATGGGGGGGAGGGAGACGGGGCAGGGGGCCCCTTGGGCCCGGCGGCGGATGGGGGGAGGGAGCGGGGCAGGGGGCCCCTTGGGCCCGGCGGCGGATGGGGGGAGGGAGCGGGGCAGGGGGCCCCTTGGGCCCGGCGGCGGATGGGGGGAGGGAGAAGGGCAGGGGGCCCCTTGGGCCCGGCGGCGGATGGGGGGAGGGAGAGGGGCAGGGGGCCCCTTGGGCCCGGCGGCGGATGGGGGGGAGGGAGCGGGGCAGGGGGCCCCTTGGGCCCGGCGGCGGATGGGGGGAGGGAGCGGGGCAGGGGGCCCCTTGGGCCCGGCGGCGGATGGGGGGAGGGAGAAGGGCAGGGGGCCCCTTGGGCCGGGGCAGGGGTCTCCCAGCCCAGGGCAGGTTGCCCTGGAGGAGGCCAGGAGCGGAAAGCTGGCCAGGCTGCGGCTCCAGGGAGGGGCAGACTATGCCCGGATGGGGGGCAGGCCCGAGGCCTGCCCGCGCCCCCCGCCCCTCCCCTGGCCGGTTGGGCCCCTCAGTGAAAGGTGCGGCTGGCGGGAGGGGGCTGGACACAAAGTCCCATTTCAGAGCCAGGAGCATCCAGCCCAGGGGTCCCGCTGCCCAGCAGCTCCCTCTGCCCCAGCCTCGCCAGGGCGCCTCCAGTCCCTCCGTGCCCACCGCGTACACCAGGGGCTCGGGCCACGCTGGGGGTTTTTTTGCACATTTTGTTTCTTTTATTAGAAAAAAAAATCCAACTACAGGAAGCGCTAACCCAACCTGCCCCACCCCCACCCTTCCCCCTCACCTGCTCCAGCCCCAGGGCAGCCCCCACAGGGTCCCGGCCCCACCACAGCAGTCCCTCCCCACCCCGTCATATTACACAAGACATATTACATATTTATATAAATATAGGCCCCCCTCCCCCCCATACAATACAGCATTGGGCCCTTCACCACTGGGGCTGAGGATAGGGGCTGCCACCCCCTGAAGGCCAAGTAAGGAGCAGGGATGCACGCTGGCAGATAATGCTGCAGGTTGGGAGGTGACCCCAGCTGGTGCCTCATGCTGGGGTGCAGTTTTACTGGCCAAGCCCACATACTTCTGTCCCAGGGAAGCTCCCCTGCCCCAGGACAGGATCTGTGCCCATTCCCATCACCCTAGGTCAGGGCAGAGTCCCCCCACTCTCTACCCTGACCCCCAGCAGGGGAAGAGGATTGATGGATGCTGAGGGCCCACAAGAGGGTCGCTCCAGCCATCCCCCACCCAGTCAATGAGTTCCAGTACCCCCTTCTGTCTGTTCAGCTCAGTCGCCTCCATCATTAGCACCATCACTGGAGTCCGAGTTGGCCGGCATCATAGGGTCATCGAGCAGAGAGAAGTCCTGTTCTGAACTGGCGTAGCCCTGAGACAAGTCATCCAGCTCATCCTCCTCATCCTCTTCTTCCTCATCAGGCTGCGGGTGCCCCAGGGAGCCCAGGTGCATGTGTGGGCCTGGGGGATAGCTGCCGTGGCCCAACCCCGGGTGCAGCAGGGAGCCAGAGGAGGAGGCTGTAGGGAAGGGTATGTAGGGAAGGGAAGAGCCAGGGGTTGGTCCAGGTTGGAAGGGGCCGTGTAAAGACAGGGGCCCTATAGCCCCTAGCTGGCTCCGCCCGGCCCCGCCCATCAGGGATACCATCTTGGACAGCTCCACACCAGCCCGGCGACCCCGTGGCTGTTTCAGGCCCCCCTCAGATTCCAACGGACCTGGCAACAGCCGGCTCATCACAGGGTCAGTCACGAAGCCCTGGGCAGGGAGAGAGATGGGGAGGAATTAGTGCTGCAAGGCTTCCCCCCCCCAGTACCCAGTACTGCTATGGGTCTAGCCTACCCCCAGCAGGGATAGTGGGGCTCCCTTCCTCCCCTGCTAGCCCAGCAGTTAGTGAGGGGGATCTCTATGACTAGGGGGATCTGGGGGATGAAACCCAAGGAGAGTCTGGGCAGACGGGGACCCAGCCTCTGGGCCCTGCCCTTACAGGGGCTTAGAACAAGCTTCATGAAGGTGAAGGGTAAAGGCGGGGGGTAGAACAATGGGAGGGGGGAGGTGAGCCCTGGGTGAGATGGAAGGGGGTGGACAGGGAGGGGTTAGCACATGCCTCTCACCTTCTTGCCATTGTGGGAGCCACTGGCCCCCGGGCCCCGCTCCAACCCTGGCAGGCAGCTCAGCTCCACTGTGCCGGTCTTTTTACACCGGTGCCACTTGCGCCGATCCTCCATGTACTGGGGGGTAGGAACGGGGAATGACACAGGGATCGGGGCAAGAGAAAGTGACACCTGGTTACTCAGCCCTGTCTCCGCTTCCCCAGGCAGAGCATCTGCCCCATGCCACCAGGGCGCAGCAGCTATCAGAGCCTCCCTCCATTTGGGGCCCAACAAAGCCCATCCCCCCACCCATTTCACTGGGGCCTGGGCCCACTGAACACTCCTGGCCGCAGTGTATTCAGGGAGCAGTTGTGTCTCTGGGAGTGAGGCAGAGCCACAGGGTGGGAGGGGGCAGTTCTGGAGGATCACATGGGGGAAGCAGCACCAGGGAGGGAGAGACAGGCGGGTGTGTATGTGTCCCCGTGTCCAAAGCCTATTTCTCTCCTGTCTCCAGTCTGACATTGGAGAGCAGGAGCCCAGGGTGAAGAGGCAGGAGGGCAGGAAGCTGGGGCCTGAGGGCTCCAGGCTCTCCGGCATGGCCCTGACTGAAGGGAGGGATGGGGTGACACTCACAGCCAGGAAGCGGGGGTCAATGGCAAAGTCAGGGTGTGCATGCAGCCAGGCCTCCAGATCAGCTCGGCGTGGGGCCGCCTCCCCCACCAGCAATGTCCCATTCGCCTTGTGCACCACTGGGATCCGTGCCTCCAGATCAATGTCAGGGCCCCGCAGCCCTTCCAAGCACTGCAGCTCCAGCTGGGGCAGAGAGACTCCCAGTCAGGAGAGCGAGACCTCACAGAGCCCCCCCAGCCATCCCACCTCCCCAGGTACTGCAGCTCCAGCTGGGGCAGAGAGACCCCCCCAATCAGGAGAGAGACCCTCCCTCAGGCACTGCAGCTTCCACGAACGCAGAAACCCCTGCGCATACAACCCCCCACAGCCCTCCTAGGCTCTGCAGCTCTCGCTGGACTCAGAAACCCCCCGCAGCCCCACCTCCTCCAATACTCTCCCCATCCCCTCACCTCCACCAGCTTCTTGCTGCTCTTCTTGTGGCCCAGCGGGTGTGGGTGCCGCTCATGTAGAGCGCCATTGGGGATCAGCTTATGCTTCTGGAACGTCAACTTGATCCCCTCCTCCTGGGGAAGACACAGGGTCAGCATGAGCACTGGGAAATGGGGCCCAATGCTACCCCAGGGTGACCCCCCCCCCCCCGACTGCCCCAGACCCACAGGGGAGCAGGCACCTCAGGTCTCCATAAGAAGCGAGTTTAACTCATTCCTCCCCAGGGCAGAGCCACATGCACTGCCAGGGAGGTGTCGGTATTAGCATGGCAAGTCATCACAGGCACCACCTCTGGATAGACATCCCCCATGCCCTGCCTGGTATTAGCATGGTGAGTTATGGGACTCTGCCCCCATCCCATGGGACAGGGGCCCCCACACCCTCCCATAGTCCTCACCCCCCACTTACGTCTTTGATCTGCACAGTGAACTCCTTCTCCTCGGGGCTGTGCCGGAGCCGAGTGTACAGGGCTGGTGCTTCCTCCTGGGGGCAGGCATGGGGAGCAGGCGAGCTGGCATAGTCACCTGGCAGCCGCGGGGCAACGTCTCCCCCCGGGCCCCCACAGGGCTCCTGGGTGCGCTGACTTGAGGGCCACTTCCCTGACAGCACAGCCTGGCACACCAGGTCGATGCGGTTAATAAGCACCCGGTCCTGGGGGAAACAGGGGTGTCAGTGTCACCATGGCAACCACCCCATTACAACCAGCTACATAGCCATGGCAACCACCTCATTCCCCCGCAGAACCATGCCAGCCACCCCATCGAAACCTGCCATATAACCACAGCAACCACCCCATCGAAACCTGCCATGTAACCATGACCACTTCACACTCCCCAACAGAACCTACCCCCTACCCCCCAATGGCCCCGCCCTGCTCCCCAGATGATCGGGGCTGGGTTTGTGTCTCCCCCCCACTGCAAGGGAGCAGTACCTTGGGC